ATCTACATTTTCCTTGTGGCTGCATTAAAAGTCTTCTTTTTATCTTTACTATGTGAATTTGTAGTTGTATTTTCGGATTTGTTGGACTCTTTGAGTTTTTGTTTTAATCAAAAAGTTTCATTTTCTCTTTGGATATTACCTTGTTCTTCTGTCATCTCGTTCTTGAACTTTAAGTATATGTTAAATCTTTTCAGCCTATCTGTATCTTTTATGCTTGCTTATTTTTTGTCCCATCTTGACTTTGTGGCTGCATACTGTATAATTTTTTTGGCTTTATCTTCCCACTTTATTCTCTTTTTAGTTCTATCTCCATATGGTGTTTAATTCCTTTTTTTTTTTTTTTTTTTTTTGCTCCCTTTTTTTTTTTCCTTTTTCCTCTGTTTCAGTTTGGGTAATTTCTTTTGACCTATGTTTAAGTTCATTGATTTTTTTTTTAAAGGTTTTATTTATTTATTTGAGAGAGAGAATGAGACAGAGAGAGAGAGCATGAGAGGGGGGAGGATCAGAGGGAGAAGCAGACTCTCTGCCGAGCAGGGAGCCCGATGCGGGACTCGATCCCGGGACTCCAGGATCATGACCTGAGCCGAAGGCAGTCGCTTAACCAACTGAGCCACCCAGGCGCCCCGGGTTCATTGATTCTTAATTCACTTGCATCAATTCTACTGAGGAGTTTATCAAAGGCATTTTTCATCTTTGGTACTATGATTTTTATTTTTAAGATTCTCATTTTACTCCCTCATATTTTCCTTATGTCTGCTGAAATTTTTCAAGGGTTTATATGGTCCACCTTTTCCACCTTTCTGGTACCTTTACTGTATTGGTCGTGGTTGTCTTAAATTCTCTGATAGTGGCAGCATGTGGATCATGTCTGGTTTTGGTGGATTGCTCTGTTGTTTGCTTTGTCTTTTGGCAGTGAATTGGTTTTTTTGTTTTTGCTGGGTTTTTTTGTTTTTTGTTTTATCCTTTCTATTTTTATGTGAGTCATTATTTTGGATGTAATGATACGTACTGTGTATAGGGCAGTAGAGAATGAGGATAGTCTTTAGGCCTGGACCTGAATACACCTCTTCTTCTGCTAGAGTTGAGCTAGGTTTGCATTGTTTTGTTATTATGGTTACCTTATTGCACCAGTGCTTTCAAATTTCTCTAGTTTTCCTTTGTCCTTAGGATTGGGATTGGTTTGTTGGGAGGTCTTTCTGAGTGGTGTTCTTGTTTCATTCCCATTTTAGGTCTTCTTTGTGCTCTTGTGTTTCATACAGGATATCTCTACACGTTCTTGTCCCTCTTCCAAATGTAGACTGTATTTACTTATTACACATTGCTCACTAGCCTGGTATTGGGGAGTAAGGGCACTTGGGTTTGTTGTGGGTTTTTGGGCCTGGTCAGCCCTTACCTACTTAGTGCTATTTATAATCTCTGGCTTATTTTCACGTTTCTTTTTGTTGGAAAGTTTTATTATAACTTTATATTTCCTAATACTTAAAATACATTGGAATATTTGCAAATATGAGTCTGTTGTCCTTTTTCTGGGCCATTATTGCTCATTATGTCTGTCATTTGTTCATGGTTATCCTACCATGTCTCATGGTTTTTGTTGTAGTTGGGGGTCTTTTTCCTTGTGTTTTTTGGGGGGAGAAGGTATGTTTATCTGTGAAGTCATATATCTTGAACAATAGGTGTGGGAATTCTTTGAGGTATGGGTTAAAGTTAAAGTCTTGCAAAGAGGTTTCAGGTTTGTTTTTGCCCGTTGCATATGTACATTTATCAATCCTGAACATCTTTAAATTTACTTCATGCTTAAGGTATTATGAATTCAAACTAATGACCTGCATGAGGGATAGCTTGTATTTTAAATTCTTAGGGAAAAATGTTTTTTGTCTGTTTGGTTCGTTGCTTTTTACCCCCTCTTCTCTCAGTGCCAAGCAAGTTTTCTTCCTGTCTCCTTCTGCAGGATAGGCTTATACCTCTGTACCCTCACAATAAGAATTCAGCTAGTTGAGTTGAGCTTACGAGTAAGTCTCCTATTGGACTCCCTGTCTTTGATGGATTCTCTATTGTCTTTCTCACTCCCTACAACCATCAAGGTGGAGGGGCTAGTCTCTAGAGTTAGGAAATCTGTCTTCTGGTAAGTTAGGAGCTTCGTTGGTAACCTTTCTCCTGGTATTTTTGCTTTCACTTCAGTCTTGGCCTTTGGATTTCTTTTGTAACATGAGGTATGCATTTGCAGTTTTGTTTTGTTTTTAATCTCACATTTCAGTTTACTTGGCAGGTTTGTTAAGGGTACTTAATCCTTCATACATTGTTTAGTCTTTGTTTTCATTTGGTACTTTCCTTAAAATTTTGAGACTCTTAGAAACTCCTTTCCTTGACTTAATTTACTGTTTACATTTTGGAAAGCCTTTATTGTTTATCTCTGCTTTTGCTCAATAAATAGTAGATACTAGAAGATTTAAGGATTATGTGATACTGAAATTTCACCTAACATGGATAATATAATTCATCCGTTGGGATAGGGCAGTATGAAGGAGATGAATTTTAGTAGTCACACTTGGGTTTTGAGTCCTTACCCACTTGTATGAATTACTTAAGTTTTACAAAACTGTATGATCTATCAAAACAGTAGCTATGTGACAGGAGTGTTGTGAGCCTTAAGTGGTATAATTTTACTTTCTGGTACATGCTCTGGTGTAGTGATGGAGTGACTACTTTGGTATTCTCAACATTTTTTAGAAAGCAAATTAAATCTCAAGGAGGTAGCATATATTGCTACCTGTTCAATACTTGTTGAGGTAGAAATCATTCCCATGTCTCTTCTGGATTTTACCTTTCAGAAGAGTAATAGTAACTTACTCTGCCTACCCTTACATTTCTTGAGTACCTTACATGTATTTCAAAGGACCTATCATATATGGGGAGAAAGAATCTAATGTATTGCCCATTTTGGCAAACTTTCTGAATGTTCAGTGAACAAAGATTAATATATATATAACGCAGTTCCTACCTTAGGGAGCTTGTCAGCTTGTTAATGATATGGACTTATGTAGTAATTACGGTTGATGTGAAGGGGTAGTAGCTTCCTGGGGCGGAGGAGGGAGGGGTCATGAAGTATGGGAAGGATGCCACGATGTTGGCAGAGGAGGAGTGGGCTTTGTGGCGGTAGCACAGCAGCATATACAAAGGCCTGAAGGCAGTGGAGAGCATGTCCTATTTATGAGAAGTCTAGATTGTGTACACAAAATAAAGTAGTTGTGGTCTGAGGACAGTTGTGGTCTGTAATTATAGAAGAGATGGTAATTGAGATGTGTCTTAAATGAACGGTGGTTCAGCAAGTGAAGATAGAATGGGTAGGATAACACAAAGTAAAGTTACCTAGTAAAATATAAGTTACTGTATTATAGGGACCCATGAATAGTCATATTGACTTGGCCACTACTTTTGAAATCCTGTACCACTCATACCTGAAACAGACAGACATCAACTGTTTCTGAGAAATCATCAGGAAATTTTGTGCATCTCATCAGAGCTTTTATGTGACAAAAGTTTTTTTTGTGGGGAGGAGGGTAAGGGAGCAGTTTTTCCAGGCTTACTTTTATAAGATACAGTAATAAATTTGGAGGATGGGTCATAAGTGGCTTTGAACATCACAAATAATAGTTTAAAATTCATTCAGTAACTGTTAGAGGCCCAGTGTAGCATTTTGTACAGGAAACGTGATAAAGTGATGATTTACTGAGGTGACTTATTTGACGACATAGGATGGAGTTGGAGAGGAACATGTCTGAAGCAGCATCACCTCTTTCTTTGTATAGTTCAGGACTGAAGTGATTAAGACTTGAGTAAGGAATGATGGTAATGGAAATGAAAGAAAGGGCAATATGAGAGTACTTTATAAAAAAAGGATCGACAAGTTGTGAGAAGTGATTGAAAATAAGATTTGGAAAACAAGCAGGAGAATTAGGGATATTAATGAAATTTCATACTTGGGTAACTGGAAATTTTTGATATTAGCCAAGGATAGGACATTTGAAGGAAAACTTGTGGGGGAAAAGTACTGTTTATGTGATGTGATGGTAATTATATGTTATACTGTAGAACATCAATATGTCTTTTTAAAAATAATTTTTAAAAGTATGGCTTCATCTGTGATTGGACAGGCAATGTGGTCTTGTATCAGTACCATAAATGTTGGACACAGACCTACATTCCAACTCAACTTTAATAATTATCACAATGTGAAACTGGAAAGTCATCTTTTGGGATTTTGCTTTGCTCATCTATAAGCTACACATAATATTGCTTACAGGCCTACTGTGTGAACTAAATAATACAGTGTTTATGCATGCTGGCCCATTTTAGCCCTCAGTAAATGTTAGTTTTCACTTCTTTATTAAAAGATGCCAGCTTTGGGGCACCTGGCTGGCTCAGTCAGTGGAGCATGCAACCCTTGATTTCAGGGTTGTGAGTTCGAACCCCACATTGGATGTAGAAATTCAAAAACAGAATCTTAAAAAAAAAAAAAAAAGGGGATGCCAGCCTTACCCTTTTGTCATACTTTAAGATGGACACCAAAGAATAATGCATAAAGCATTTTTGTTTCGCTGTTGAGCATTTCACTGAAATGATAGCCATGATATTGGCTAAATAAAATACATGTAGAATCATGCAGCTTATAATTGGACTAACCCAGAAGTGGTAATTAATTATTGAATGTGTAGGTGTAGTTAACAGCCTTTGCTTCTGGTAAGTGACTTTTTTAGAGCATATATGTTTATGTGAGCAAGACAGACTATTTCCTGGAAGGAAACTGTGGTCTCCAGATCTTTATAATAATGTCACCTTTAATCTTGAACTCATGAGTGTTGTTCTACACAGATTATTTTCTTGAGGCAGTTACTTGCAAGAAGTAAATGAATCCTCCTTTGAGCCTGTTAAGACTCCATAGACTGTCAGTAATATGGAAAAATTGGATATTTAATCAGGAATGTGAACATGTGTTTCAGGTAGAGAATTCCAAAGATAATGAAGACAGTATTCTACAAAGAGAAATTCCTGCCAGACAGTCTCGACGAAGGTTTCGGAAAATTAATTATAAAGGAGAGCGTCAAACTATTACTGATGATGTGGACATTAACAGCTATCTTTCCGTGAGTATATTTAGGAAAAGTTCATGGATCGTCCTTAATTTTTATATATAGTATCTTTAATTTACATGTATTTTTGGTAATATCAACACTTAGGGCTTAACATATAAAATTTTAGAGCAGATAAATATATATAATTTTTTTTTAAATACTTCTCAGTTGAGTTTGGTAGAAATGCTCTTACCAGTGGAAGTGTTGTTTTTTGCTTTGGTGTTTGTTTAAATAATGTAAAAAATTCTTACTATATCTTTTTAGACCTTATTTGTGGATTTTCTTGCCTTTTTATTGTCTGAATGGAATATGGAAAAGAGTTCTGAGAACTCAGGTTGGGAGCTTTTTTCCTGATAATGCTGTAAGGCATACAAAAGAAATAAAAATATGTCAATTTTTCTCCTGTGGTATGGGAGAGATACAAAAATTGTGTGTTAGTGCAGAAACGTGGGCAAGTGTTAGCTATATGTTTTTACATGCAAATATTGAAGAAGAAGAAACAGATGAAATAATTAGCTTTTGTAACACTAGAAGAAACATAAGCTGTTTCTCCAGAAGTCTTCAGTCTTGTAATTGTAGAGAACTTCATTTTAAACTAAAAAGTATTTGAATCAAGAAAGATAGGGATGCGTGGGTGGCACAGTCATTTAAGCGTCTGGCTGTGTCTCAGGGTCCTGGGATCAAGCCCCATGTCGGGCTCCCTGCTTGGAGGGGAATCTGCTTCTCCCTCTCACCTACTCGTGCTCTCTCTGTCTCTCTCTGTCTCTCTCAAATAAATAAATAAAATCTTAAAAAAAAAAAAAAAAGTAAGGGTAATCTAAGAAAGAATAAATCCAGGGATATTTTATCAGTTTCAAAGAAGTCATGATCCCCCCAAAAATATAAAAACAGTTTAGAGATTGATTGCAGCAAAACTCCCAAGGGTATGTTTAATTCATTTGGTTGTCAAAACAAATTCCTCCTTCCATGTTAGGAATAAGGATTATATAGGGAATTGTGTATAGTGGAATAAATGTTAAATTCAGAGCAGCTCTAAGGATTTAGTCACATTTGCCTTATGTCTTTGGTTCCATACATTCTATTTCTAACAACAAAGAGTAACATGAAATAGTCCCCCAGGTTTTTTTTTTTGCCACATCTAGAGGCACACAAAGTTCATTTCCTGTTCTTATTATGTAAAAATTTCTTTTTATGTAATAAATTTCCACATAATGAATTAATTTCAACTAACATGTTTGCGTTATTGTACAAATAGTATGTGTCTGTTTGGGAAAAATTAAACATTGACTAGTCATACTGCCCAGTTATGTAACCATTGATGACATTTCATATATTCTTGGGTAAAGGGTTTTTTTCCACATAGAGATACAAATGTAAGCTTTTTGGCTTTTTAAAACTTAAATATATGATAATTTTTTTACATGTGTGATATGAACATCTTTGAATGTTTAAAAAAATTTTTTTTTTTTTTACATTACTCTTAAGAGTGTCATGGTGCTCCACTATAATAATTGCCATAATCTACATACTTCCCAATATTTGGTCATTTAGATTTTTTTTGTTTTTATTTTTTTAAAATAAGGTGCTGGGGCGCCTGGCTGGCTCAGTCGGTTAAGCATCTGTGTTCAGCTCAGGTCATGATCCCAGGGCCCTGGGTTCGAGCCCTGCATCGGGCTCTCTGGTCAGGGGAGAGCCTGCTTCTCCCTCCCCCTCTGCCTGCAGCTCCCCCTGCTTGTGCTCTCTTTCTCTCTGTCAAATAAGTAAAATCTTTTTAAAAAAATAAGGTGCTAATTATCTTTGTGGTTACGTTTGTCCATATGTTGGTTTCTTTAGAAAAATACTGAGAAGTAAAATTATTACCTTTAATTGTGTTATTTGGTTTTCCTTATATGAGCTACAGTGCATAGTTTGTATGTATGTTTTGATCACTTACTCCAGTCTCAGCTCTAGTGTGTTCTGAGACTTTTTTGGTGTCCTGTCTTAAAGCCCAGGCAAATTCTACATTTTCTCTAGGTAGCTGTGGCTTATGCTCCTGAGTCATGTACTTCTAACTCCCATGTGTGCTGAAAGTTGTCCTCTTGGGGATATGTTGGTTTCCTGTGTAGACCAGAAAGAGTAGCAGGCAAACTGCTTGAGATTCTGTGCATTTGATGACTCTAAGTGAAGTGTGGCATTGTTGGATATAAACGTTTGTGTAGCTAGTTTTAAGTATTTACCCTATTGAGTACTGTCAGGAATTTGGCAGAGGGGAGAACTAAGTTGATTCATGGTAGTTATTAACTATGAGACTGGGTTGGAAAAGGATTTTTGGTCATGTTACGTAAATTTGCTATTTCTTGAAATTAATAGTTTGTTTGCTTTTTTTCCCCTAAAACAGATGTATTTCAGGCAACTTGGGAAAGGTTTTAAGAGGTTTTCATTTACTATTCATTAATGTCACCTGTATGTAAAACCTATGTGTCTGTCTAAATACCTACATAGTGATAGTTGGTCTAGATAAAGGATGCTTTGCAGCAAAAATCTTAATTAGTATTTGTGAAAACATCCAGTAGAAAATTGGCTTTATGGCTACCCTGGGGTCTTTCAGGTCTTTTGTTCTACTGTCAGCAATTCAGAGAGAAAGATCAAAAGGAATCATTTTTTTTCTTGTAGACAGTAGTACAGATTTGACAGTTTCTTTTTTCATTTGCTCACCATCATCAACTTTTCCTTGCTGAAATGCTGAAGGTCAAAAATTCTTAAAGATGTACAGAATTTTTTGTTACTGTTGCCTTTGTCATAAGTATTATTAGTATACAACCTGTACATCACAGTTTTATGTATACTGAAGACTTCTCATGTTTTATTCTCTAATTGAATGCTTAGAACGATTGAAAAATATATATATTTTTTAAGATTTTTTAATTTATTTGACAGATAGACAGTGAGAGAGGGAACACAAGCAGGGGGGGTGGGGGAGGGAGAAGCAGGCTTCCCGCTGAGCAGGGAGCCCGACGTGGGGCTCGATCCCAGGACCCTGGGATCATGACCTGAGCCGGAGGCAGATGCTTAACAACTGAACCACCCAGGCGCCCCAAAAGATTGTTTATTTTTATGGATTATTTTGTGGTTTTGTCATACGTTGCTTTATATAAAGATGATGAGAACCATAATTTTAATGTGAAAGTGAAAGGGTTTTTTTTCTTAATGTTAAAAGGAGCACTTCTATAACAGTAACATTTTTGAAACTCCTTTGGGTATTGCTCTCAGAGTTTTCAACAAATTTAAATGTTTTTGAATATTCTCAGAATATTTTATATATTTGAGGAAGGTGTATTTCATATTGAGAAATAGCAAGAAGGTGATTGGAATAATATTCAGTGAGAGTAAGATGGGTAATTATGCCAACCGAAAATAGTCTAGCATTTACATGAGCCATCTGTCTTGAATTCTTCCTTACTCACTGTATGGTTAGGGCGTTTCGTCTAAACGCTTAGTGCTTTGGTTGCTGTACCTCAAAAAATGAGGTTGGTAGTATTGGGTCTGCCTGTCTTAAGGGGTGGTTGCTAAAGAACATGGAACATGTTTGCACACTCATAGTCTAAGTTTCCCCATGTCATCATGTCATTGCCTTAGTGTTCACTGTCATTCTTTTTAGAACTGTTGTAATAGCATTGGGGCGCCTGGGTGTCTCAGTTGATTAAGCATCCAATTCTTGATTTCTGCTGGGTGCTGAGATCAAGCCCCGTGTTGGGCTCCGTGCTCATTGGGGAGTCTACTTAGGATTCTCTTTCCCCCTGTCCCTCCCCCCTGCTCGCACTTGCTCTCTTTGTCTCTAAAATCAATAAATAAAATCTTAAAAAAGAAAAACAACAGACTGTTGCAATAGCATCTCCCATACTCCCCCACCCCACTTTCACTATAAAAGCAGTATTTTTTTATTTTAAGAAATGTGGAGGGACACCTGGGTGGCTCAGTCGGTTGAGCGTCTGCCTTCGGCTCAGGTCCTGATCCCAGGGTCCTGGGATCGAGTTCTGTATCGGGCTCCTTGCTCAGCGGGGAGCCTGCTTCTCCCTCTGCCACTCTCCCTGCTTGTGTTCCCTCTCTCACTGTGTCTCTGTCAAATAAATAAATAAAATCTTTAAAAAAACAAAAAATGTGGAAAATTTTTTCTAAATTGGGAAGTGTCTCATAAATCTCTTCATTAAAAGATATCCGATTAATCACTTTATTTGATTTCAAGATTATTTTCTCCTTCCTCTCTGATTTTATATCTGTTTCCAAATTGGTGGTAGTAACTAGCCACAAGTGACTACTGAGCACTTAAGATGTGGCTAGTATGACTGAGGATTTTAATTTAGCATTTTAATTTCAAGTAATTGACGTGTAAGTAACCACATGTGGCTAGTAGCTACCAGATTGGACAGCAAGGTCTGGACTTTGTCCACCTCGCCAGCTTTGTCTTTTCCTTTTTCCTGCATATTTCCTGAACAAATTTGCTGATCCTTGAAGGATCCATGTTTTTAGTTATTTTCAGCTGTATTGAGATATAATTTACATATATAACACTGTGTAAGTTTAAAGTGATTTGATATACATATATTACAAGATGGTTACTGTATATGTGTATATACTGTATACAGTATATGTGTATGTGTGTGTTGAGGAGTAAGAAACCTGCTTGTATATACATCTCTTAGATCTGCTGTTCCTTTTACTTAGAATGCTGTTTTAGGCTTTGTCTTCTTGGCACTAACTTAGTCATCCTGAAGACTCAATTCCATATCATTTCATGGGAGGACTCCGTGATTTTCCCTTGGGAGGGGTTAGGTACGCATCTCTGCATTCCCACAGTATTCCATGTATATACTTGTGACCGTTCATTAGACTACATTGTGATGGTTTCTTCAGATGTCCACTTCTCCCATCAGAATATACTTGCCTTGAAAATGGGAACCATTGTCATTGTACCCTCCAAGCTTGTTGCCTATCAAGGAAAATAAGGGTGCATTTTTTTTGCATCAGCTTGTTTA